TGATCGGATGCCTGGCTGAACCGAATTTGCGACGTGGTCGACGATCCAAGGGTGCGTCATAACGTCATCAAGACTCATCCGCTTCTCAGCATCCAAATTGAGCAACTTTTGCGAAGTCAGTACGGCTTCATTGTGAGCACACGTATGGCGAGAGGGTGTCACTTACCTCCCGAATCAGCTCCTCCGCGCGCTCGCTGACATGTCCTGGGAACTTGATACCTTTGCCCTTGAAATTCGCAATCTTCTTTTGTGTGCTCTTCACGTCTTTCATCTCGAATGGCGGCTTACCCACAAGAAGCTCGTACATCAAGACGCCCAGACTCCATTGATCGATGGCCTTTGTGTACCACCCTCCGCTCATCCCGGGCTTGAGCGTCATGACTGCAACCTCTGGGCTTAGGTAATCTAGTGTGCCGCATACCGTTGATCGAAATCCTGACTCGGAGTGTACAGAGTATCCAAAGTCAGCAAGCTTGATCTCGCCGTGGAAACCAAGTAGTATATTTTCGGGCTTGATATCGCGGTGCATGATGTTTTTGCTATGCATGTAGCGTAGTGCGGACGTGAGCTGAGCGATATAGACGGCTGTTTGGTGCTCTGTGAACCTGCCCTTGGGCTGCTTGTTCATCTTCGAGTAAAGACTGCCACCCGGAGCAAATTCGAGCACAAGGTATATCGATTCGTCGTCGTGAAACCATGACAGTAACTTCAAGATGTTCTTATGCGCGAGGTTTTGGTGGATCTCGAGCTCGCGGCGTATCAACTTCTCCTCTTCTTGTGTTGTAGCCTGCGCTTTTGATATGATCTTGAGAGCGCACACGTAATCTGTCGCGAGATGACGGGCGAGGTACACGCGCCCAAATTTCCCACGACCAAGCGTACCGCCGACTTCGAAGTCGCGCGCTGTGAGTGAAGGATGGGGCTCGGAGCCGGTGGATAGGAATGAAGACGCTGCGGGGTCGCTCCGCAGTTCGTCGCTCGTGGAGGAGACATTGGGGCCAGTGGCGGGCTCATCGACGACGGAAAGTCGTTTTGCTGTTCGTTGAAGACGCTCTCGCTCGTCCACCGTCTTACTCCTCGTTCCTGGTTTGGTAACCTTCGGTTGCCTGGTTAGCCGCAGGGCGTTGAGCTTCGCTTTCGTATTCTGTATCTGCCCATATGTCAGAAGCAAACACCAAGGTGAGAGAAGCGATCACTTACCGACGACTTCAAGGTTGCAAGAACAGAGCTGGAATGGCTAGCGCTCGTAGGGACTGGAACACCTGCGTTTACTGTGGACTTGCTGGGCGCCATGTTGTTCTATTGGCGATAATCGTCGGGTTGACTGTTCACGTTGTTGGGATCGAGAACAGTACTGCAATCCATAAAGTGAAGGCGCGTAAATGACGACATCGCGCTCTCATTGCTCTAGTTTCAGTCTCGTTTGGTTCTCGTCACCAGGTGAACGAAGGTCTCAGTTTTCGCAACACCGACCACCACAACAAACGCTCAACGCCCATCACCGTCACTGTCAACATTGCAACATGGATTTTCTCACCTCTGATATAGTATCACTGGTAGCCTCTGGTATAAAGACGTTGAGTTTCAAGAGTTATTCATCAAGACTCGAGTCCGGCCTGGCGCCGTTGGGCATATCGCCTGCTCAGCTCGCTAGGTCAAGGTCGCCGATTCGAGCATCGACAAAGACAGAAGCGAGACAGCACAGACCGTGGTCTGGTTTAAGAAATTAAGGAGGCTGTCAGCATACGGTGCGTGAGAGGGGCACCTATCTAAGTTCTGTCTTTTTGCTCTTTTGTGTATGCCATCTTTTTGCTCACGTGAAGCAGTATGCCCTCTCTCTTGCTGCGCCGTTCCGTGCTCGGGTATATATGCGATGGCGTAGCACGATGTGGCTTGAATCCCTGACATAGATATTAGTACTTTTCTAAGCAGTAGGGACTCTAACCGTACAAGAAGAGTGCATGTGAGAAGCTATCACGGCAGCAGGCCTAGCCGCTGCTCAACCACTTCCACAATCTCCCTCCAATCTTTCATCGCGCCGCCACCAATGTCTCCACACGCTAGCTCTTTTTCCATAGGTTGCAGTACCTCATACCAGCCTCCATTCTTTACTCCCCACTCTTCTTCCAGCACATGCAACTGTTTCTTGGTGATGGGCTGGAACCACATGGCGGTATTCATGCTCGGAGCGACTAGTATCCTCTTCTTCTGTATGCCGCCATCTTCTTGCGGCCATTGCACGCCTGGTATGCTCCTCACCGGATCGATCAGACCTGTGGTATCCCATGCGCGCGCGACGGACAGTAGGAGGTTATCTGACCAGCCCTGTGTGATCTTGGCGAGTAGGTCAGCACTCAAGGGTGCAATGACCATGATGTCTGCCCATCGCCGTAGCTCAATGTGGAGGATCTTGTTGCCTCGGATCCATGGCTCTCTCCACTCGTCTTCGTCAAAGTATACTCCGTCGACGTTCGGTAACGCCTCTATTTCCTCGATCGAAGGCTGCTCCCCGCTCTGGCCTTGCAAGAAGTTGGTTGCCGCAGCCGTGAAGATGAGCCGTATTCGTACGTTCGTGTGTTTCGCAAGCGCGTTGATCATGTTCGGTATCTTGATGGTCGCAACAGAACCTGAAGCGCAGAGGAGGACGTGGATGGTGTCATCGTGGTGGTCGAAGGCGAACGAGTCTGTCTTGAGCGGGTCGTGGACTTGATGCTGGACGGGTCTGATGTTGAGCGGCTTGAGGTCGCGTACTTCGGCAGTCATGCTGTGCTGCCTTTACTAGATTATCCGTAGGTGTAAGTGCGCGAGCAGATTGTCTGAGGTTGAACGTCGGCGTCGCGTAAGCATGGCGACCGCATTACAAAGAAGGTACTAGGGTGTGCGTTGGTGGGGGAGGTGTGATGTAGTGAGGTTTGACGGACGCTAAGTTGGTCATCGGGGAGCTTGGCAGGAACCTTGGGAAAGGAACTTTGTCGTCTGCCGTGACGCGTGAGAGACCTCCCATGCGACACAACGTGCAACGCGTCGAATACACCCTGGATGCCTGATGCTTCACTCCGGACCAACTGGTACCTCCTTCAGGCTTGAGCCATGGGTAGTTCACGACCTGACCGGAGTTCTGGTGGCCTATCTCCGTCTTGCTCCGCCGACTCCAGAGCGGAAAACTCACGATACTCAATTCTTCGGACGAACAAAGAAATCGCTCACGAATTCGGCCCTTAAGTCTCAATATTCGTCGAGTTACTATGTTCCAACGGAAGGTGCAGCTACAGTAATCGTGGCAGATACATAGGTATGATCTCATGCATAGCGGGGTTAAGGAGTTAGTGGCAAGTGAGGTCAATGCGGGTGGGATACCAGCGTCATTGCAATCAGGTACCCGATAATTAAGCTTATTTTACTTCGTCCGTTCCAGTGCCTATTTCACACTTAAAACCAAGTCCCTTCCGGTCGAATTGCACAGCACTCCGTCTTCTATCTAAACCACCTCACATCACTCAATACCACAATGTCTCTGCCCACTGCACCTCTCGGTCGCGATGGCCCTCAAGTCAACCGCCTGGGCTTCGGCCTCATGGGCCTGTCCTCATTCTATGGCAAGCCGAAGCCAGACTCTGAACGTCTGGCAATGCTTGACTTGGCCCATAAGCTAGGCGAACGCTTCTGGGACTCTTCTGATGTGTATGGCTATCGGATCATTGGGTCTGACAACAGCTAACAGCTATTTTAGTTACGGCGACAACGAAGACTTGATAGGACAGTGGTTCAAGGCCAACCCCGACAAGCGCAAGGACATCTTTCTTGCTACTAAGTTTGCTTTCAAGGACTCGATGGGTACAATCGACACTTCTCCAGAACACGTCAGTCAACCAATGTAGAAACTGCGACTGGATCATACGCTGACTTCGTCAACCCACTTTTAGGTCAAAGTGGCCATAGAGAAGTCTCTTCAGCGTCTCGGAATCGAGCAGGTAGACCTCTACTACATGCACCGCGTCGACCAGAAGACGCCAATTGAGCTCACCGTGCAGGCCATGGCCGACCTTGTCAATCTCAAGAAAGTAAAGTATCTCGGTTTGTCAGAAGTCAGCTCCGAGACTTTACGAAGAGCGCACAAGGTCCACCCCATCTCCGCCGTACAGGTCGAATACTCCCCCTTCGCGCTGGAGATCGAGAGCAAGCAAATCGATCTACTCAAGACATGCCGCGAGCTTGGCGTAGCAGTGGTTGCCTACTCACCGCTCAGCCGCGGTATGCTGACTGGCGCCATCAAGAGCCCCGACGACTTTGAGGAAGGCGACTTCCGTAGCTATGCGCCCCGATTCAGTGCCGAAAACTTCCCCAAGAACCTGAAGCTCGTGGACCGAATCACCGAGATTGCAAAGGCGAAGGGTGTTACGCCTGGTCAGTTGACACTGGCGTGGTTGATGGCACAGGGTGACGACATCTTCCCAATCCCGGGTACTACCAAGCCTGAGCGCCTGGAGGAGAACGTCGGGAGTGTGAAGGTTGAGCTAAGCAAGGAGGAGGAACAGAAGATTCGCAAGGCGTGCGAAGAGGCAGAGGTTAGCGGTGGACGCTATCCTGAGAGCTTTATGAAGATGTGCTATGCCGACACGCCGTCGCTGGATGAGTACCGTGATAGTGGTGCGGACAAGACGGGGGCTGAAGGAAAGCCGACCCATACAGCAGATATCATCGGCGGATCATAGAGTACCACGTGTAGCGATGAAGCGCAGACAATGCTCGATATTTTGGAGTGTTCCTGGGAATGAAAGCCATGTAGTTATACGTTAAATTAGACACTCTGGCCTTTCAGCTCTTGTGTCGCATGCCAAATGAATCTGTAAGCCAGGTCGCATAGCCGCCGACTAACCGTGTGATCAATTCGGGAGCGAAAGAAACAAGCACTCTGAGAAGTCAGCCAAGTTTCAAACCTGGAGGAAAAGATACACCCCATCTCTAGCGTACAGCAAGCCTGACTACGACATCACTTTGCCTCACAAATCCAGCATTGAACGTCTTCCAGGGTCGATCATGAGCCATGTGCATGTCGAAACAGCGGAGGAGCTCTGGAACGACTTTGTGAACTTCCGCCAAGGCAACCTAAGGAAGACGTGTGATCAGTATACCAACAATAAAGGTGACCTTAGTACAATGTACATCTCATAGAAAACTTACGTTCTTCCCGATACATGTCCTCTTTCCTACACCGAACAGTAACATCCCCCTTTCCATCTCAAATTTTCTGGCCTCGCTCTCTAGCCAGCGCTCTGGTCGAAACTCCGAAGCGTCTTCGCCGAAGAGCTTCTTGTCGTATTGTACTATCTGCGGATTGATACCGACGTGGTATCCAGCCGGAATGTAGATGCCAGACAGGGTAATACCCTGTGCAGGAGCTATCCGACTCATGTTGAATCCGGTACTTGGAAAAAGGCGAGAGGCTTCTTTAATGCACGCACTGATATACGGTAGGTGCTTCGTTGACTCTTCAAAGCTGACAGGTGTGTTGAGGAGGTGTTGCTGGGTCTGTAGCTCCTGGGTCGCTTTAGACATGGCATCGGGTGTTCTCATAAGGTAGTATAAAACTGCCCTTAAGTTGACAGCGACAGAATCAGCGCCGGCCATGATGCCAGCCCAAGACTCCAATGTGACTTCTTTGTGTGTGAACCAAGCTTCACTATCTTTCTGCCCCACTTTGCTCAGGAGCTGAGAAAGGATGTCTTGACTCTGATCGTCCGCTTCTGCCGAGCGTTGTAGTCGAAGTTGTGTCTGGCGTTTAGCTTCCACCACGGTAGCTTGTACGCCTTTGAACTGCTTCAAATTGCTAGGAACACACATGGCTGCCAGCATGATGATGCTGCGCATGTAGGTCGGTGCCGCAGTAATGAAAGCAAGAAGCGGGGCAGCGTTGTGTACAGATTCAATGAAGGAATCCACATGTGTACCTTTTTCCAAGAAACCAAAGGATTGACCGAAAAGGACGTGCCCAATTACATCATGAGCGAATAGTTCGAGCCAAAGCCCCAGGTCTACCTCTTCGTTTGTTTTGGCAAATTTGTCCAGCCGCATTTTCAACAAGTTTGTGCAATCATCGATCGCACCTTGATGCTTCAGAATGCTGACCATTTGATAGGCAGGCTGAACAATCCGACGATACCTGGTGTGCTTCTCTTCGTCCGTCTCGGTGAAGAGGTCTGCGTGCTCGCTGATACCTCGTGGGCGGAAAGAAACATACCTGCCGATTTAGCAGTCATACACAGCGTTTGTATGGTACCTGCAAGCGTGACTCACCAGTCTGTCTTGATCAAAGGTTTCTGGGTCGTGTAGATGAGTGAGATCGCGTCTGGATCGCTGGAGCTAACTTCGTTTGGAGCGATGCGTATAAGAGGACCATACTGCTCATGTAGCTCGCGTTGGACGACCTCAAGATCATCGAGAAACATACGGTACACTGTTGGTAAGTTATGTGTTAGTAAGGTTGGCTTTTGAACAAGCTTGGGACCAAAAGCAGTAGTAGCGAGTCCGTTGTGGCAATAATAATGCAGATTTGAGGGGGTTCTTACTACTCAGCAATTAGCCTTTCTCGTACCGCAAAATATGTTGGAGCGTGTGCACCTTAGCCACGTTCGCGAGATGGCAGGCCATAATGGGCCCGGTACACGTGCAAGTGGGTGTAGTGTACGACAATAGACGATCCACATAACCCAGTATGCTGCAAGCAGAAGAAGGATGTTGGTTGGAGAAGGCACTCGCAAAAATTCGTTCAACGCCATTTTCAGTTGTCGCGTTTGTGTTGATCAAACCAAGGATGTGCAGTGGGCAGCTGCAGTGTAGGCATCGGACGCTATTAAGTAGATGTGCCAAGCTTGTGTGCAACCACTCTGTGATGGTGTGTAGGTACGGCAGTGCCCTACGTACCACTGGGAACCCCGCGAACGACATGTGCATATGAATCCTGGGAAGTGCAGTTGCTACCTGGCCATACACACGCTTGAAGGTGCATAGTCCGGCGTGAGGAGTCGCGATAACATATGCGTAAGCACACCGGACGAAAAGTCGATGGTATCCGTTGAGATTGCGCGACGACGGAACGTGATATGGACTCGATGCCGATGAAATTAACGGCTTGTGAAAGAAAAAGCATGGTTGCAGGGAGAGGCTGGAGGGTGAGGGGATGCGCCGATGGAGGAGGAAGCGGCGCTAGCAGCGTTCAACGGATCGTGGACATATTGCCGCTTTGGGACGGAATAATCCTGGCAGGCCATCGCGCGATTCCGCTGACCTCACACCCGAGTCAACTTTCCACCACCTGGACATTCTCGTGTACTCGCCCTGGACAGCCCCTCACGTGGATACAGGGATAGCAAGCGGACGCAGCACATCTGTCTGCCCAGCCATTGGCCCCCCGACGCATCCAGCAAAAGCACCCGTGCACGTCATCCTCGCGCACTCCTCGACACATCTCCAGCGTAGCCATGGGCTTCATCACGGGCTTCGTAAGTGCTGCCAATCGCTTACAATGACACTAGCTAACATGTGCAGCTCGGAGGCGTCACACTCACCACAGGCGTTCTCTACCTCAGCATCTCCCTACACACACAAAACCGCATAACACAAGCCGCGCTCCTACGACAGCAACGCCAAGTTCTCACCGAATTCTACGAGCCCAAGAAGCCAGAACCAGAGCCCACAAGCCGGGAAGCACCCGTCGGGCTAGCCGAGATGGCCAAGGACCGCTGGAACAGAAGTCTTGAGGAGGGTGTGAAGAAGGTCTACACAACAGATTGGCGGAGAGTACGGGAAGAGGCCGAGGACAGGGCGAGCGCCATTATGCAGAAGATCAGAGAGAGCAGCAAATGAGGGTGTGGTCGCGCGTGTATACTAGGAGCAAGTGAAGGCGGCGCTATGGCACGATTGCGACGATACCCCTCTGGCGACTGTACAAATATTCGGGCTTGCAATACGACCAGCATAGATTTTCCGAGTAGCATGGTAGGCTGCTTGTGCACCATCTCTTTCGTTGCGTCATTCCGTGATCCTGGTCCTCGACTTTCAAGCTACTCCCCACGTTTTCCTCTGATATTGTCCGTTTGCGTCCGCATGGCAACACCGCGCGTTTGCCTAGCTCCCCTCTCACCTCCCAACCAGCAACATCACATCACTTCGGTTTCGTCTTGAACAACAACGCAGCCGCCTGCGCAGCCATGGCGTCCCATGGCAAGGTCATGGACCTCTTCGACGAGCGCTATCTCGAGTTACAAGATGTTGTTGGCAACGTCGAACCGCCACCCACTCTAGTACCTTATGAGCAGTACAAGGCTCACGCCATCACCTACCGAATGGACACGAACCATGACGTTTTCTTCGCGCTTCTCCAAGACTTCACGGAGCGCAAGGCGTTGGAGACGGGCAAGGAGCTGTGGACGTGGTGTGTGCAGTGGGAAGTCAGTCAGACAGCGGCTCGCCAATCCCTCGCGGCATCGCAATCAGCAAAGAGGCCTCGCCTTGACTTAGACCCGCCGAACACCCCTACCGCGCCGAAACCGGTCAGCAACGCGCCTCCGATGACTCTGCATGCTCGCTGTATAGATCCCGATCTCTTGCACGAGGAGGACATGTTACGCATTCTGGTAGATATCGTGCAGGTCGACAGCACAGTGGTCCCCAACTTCATCGAATTCCTTTACAGGTGGATCGACTTTTACGAAGGAGACGGAAAGGCTCTGAAGGCGGCTCTACATGGCGAGATTCCAAGCTTGTGGGACTTTGAATATCATCCATTTCTTGTCACTCAGGAAGCCAAAAAAGAAATTAATCAAGCAAGAGGTGTCGCCCAAGATAGCGGGAAGGACGGACAAGGCGGTGACACAACCACCCAGATGCGACAAAAGCCCGACCTAGCGGCACTCGAACGCAAGACAGAAGAAAGCGAACGTCTGAAGTACCGCGAAGTACACTTCGGCATCCAGCCCCCAAAGCTAGACGAGCCTCTGCCACCTCTCATCAACGTCCCCCGAGACCAGTACAAGCGAGCCAAGTATTACGAAGCTTGTTTCAAATCGCGACAACGCGCGTTCTTCTTACTCGTAGAAGCAGGAGTCACCGCACAGAACATGCGAGACTACCACAGAGATCAGCCAATGAGCCTGCAAGAGACGCCACCGCTCGTGGACGGAGGCGGCCTCAAGAACTACGAGAAGGACGCAAAACTTGCGCAAGCTTTCAAGTCGCTCAAGGAGCGACATAGGGCAAAGCAATTGGAAATCTCCATCAGCAACAAACTGGCGGACGAGGCTCAGTTTGCCGCGCGCAGTGCTGCTCCCCGAAGTCCATCTGGTGTCCCTCTCATCCCTACCACGACCACTCACGCCCATCGCCCGGATGTGACTGACGGCATATTGCACAAGATTCAGCAGACCAAAAATGAGGAACTCCAAAGGATCAGCATCGTTCCTACACCACTTGTGGGTAAGATGAAGAGCACGCTGTTCCGAGGTGCAAGAGACAAAGCGGGTTTGCAAGCGATGTTCGCGCGTAGTAGTTTCCCATCGATTCCACGTTCTTCAGGCAACTTTGATGGCGGTAGGTGGAACAACAAGAACGACGGCGATGGGAGTACCGATGAAGATTCAGACGACGGCATGAGTGCCCCAAGGGCCAGAATGCGTCTGCTGCCTACACCCTTATTGCCATCGCCTACATCGCTTCCTCGTCCGAACCTACCATCGCTTCCTCGTCCGAACCTACCATCGCTCAAGACGCTTCCCTGTCCATCTCTACCACCGCCTGCATTGCTTCCTCGTCCAAACCTACCGCCGCTACCGCGCCCACCGCCTGCGATGACCTCCACTCAACCTCAAAATACGTTCATTCCTGACACGACACTGTTCCCCCACCTGCAACACCGATCAAGCCAGGCCGCTCTACCCACCACAGAAGTTGCATCTGCTGCAGAACAGACGCTACCAAATGTTGCGGCGCTCATGCGAAATATCACTCCAAATCCCGCAGACCAAATGATAGGGATGCTTAAGCAGCAGGTGAGTCTGGCTGTAAGTCGAGTGATGTCCCAGCAGAATGCCCAAGCTGGACAATCTCGTGTGCAAAGCCCCCATCCCTATCCTCAAGCACATGTTCCGGCGGTGTCTCAAGCTCCAAATATTACTGTATCTGGACCGCAGTTACCTTCTCAACACCAACTGCCTGGGAGCTTCCAAGGAGGCTTCGGTCCTTATGCTCGACCGCCGCTACCACCTGGATTTGAACACCACCATCATTCTACATCTGGATATGGGGCTCATCCTTTGACCCTTCCGCCGGCGGGTCTTCCCCCTGCCTGGTTCCAGTCTGCTAATCACCAACCAAACCTGTCTCAGCAGGCTCACACATCATTTTGGCCGACACCACTAGGACGCTCTGATCATGCACCACCACCGGCTTTTGCACAGCGCCTCGCAGCTGCTCAAGAGACACAGGGTCATGCCGCTAGCTATGGTCAGCGACTTCCAGATGCTGGACCACCCTTACCACGGGCACCAGACCTGCCAAGTCTTAGCAGACCAGTTGGTCAGGGTGGATCTGTTCAGCAGCGCCAACTGCCCCCTCCAAATTCTCTACTGGCTCCACCTCAGGCGACTATGCAGCGCACTGCTCCATCTCCACTTCACCTTCGACCACCATCACCTCTCTCATCATTTGCGCCAAGTCTGCTAGCCACCTCTCCCTTTACTACATCCCACCGCGGTATTCCCATCCAAATCTATCTGCCTAAGATCGTCGTACCCGCAAACACCATCGGTCCCGGCGGACTGAAGCTAGGCGACAACGGAGTAGCCGAGACCGACGCCTTCCTCCTTGGGTACACACACCCTAAAAGCGGGAAGATCACCCTCAATCGCGCAGTGTTTCTACCCTTGGGCGTGTGGGCCAACGCGCAAGACAGAGTGCGAAAGGGTCACTATCAGGTACTGGAGAGCTATGCAGCACCGAATGGAAGACCTTCAGTACCGCATCGCGCTGCGTATGAGAAGGTGAAGCAAGCTTATGAGATGATGGTCGTGGAATCTCCAGTAGCGAGGGAGCGAGAATTGACAAAGAGGTGGAGGGCTAGTAGAGGAAGAATGACGGCGACTCAGAGGGGTGCCGTCTGGGAAGGTTGGGCGGTGGAGGTTGACAGAGAGATCGCTCTGGATAAAGAGGACAGAAAGGGTGCTTTTGTGCAGAATGCGCTGGTTGATGGAGTTGATGAGAATAGTGATGAGGCTAGGAGGAGGAGGGAGATTGAGGAGTTGCTTGAGACGGATGAGGCGTGGGACTATGAGGAGGACGAGAACGACGATGACGAGGACGGAGTTGAGCAGGATTACGGGGATGAAATGGAGGAGGAGGAGGATGATGATGATGATGAGGGGGGTAGCGATGACGACGACGACGATGATGATGGAGAAGAAGAAAATGAGGTGGAGGACGGTGAGGATGAGGATGTGTATATGGACGGCTAGGCTCAGATTCATGAGATACGACAGCGTTCTGGAGCTGTTCCTAGGGATGATCCATCTAGAAGCTCAATTTGAGTTCTCTTCTCTCCAAACAAGCTAGTTCAGATACAGCGTCCACCATCCACTTCCAGATTAACTCCTGTAATGAAGCCAGCCTCTTTGCTTGCCATGAAGATACACGCATTCACCACGTCGTCCACTTCACCGATTCTACCCATGGGTACATTGGACGTGAACTTTGTCCTGTTCTCCGGTGTATCTTCCATTCCAGTGAAGGCAGAGAAGAGACCCGTTCCTGTAACAAGGGGGCAAATGGACACGACTCGGATCTGATGGGGCCCGTACTCCGCCGCGAGGCCTTTTGTCGCCTGAAGTATGCATTAATCACTGGGAGCTCGATGCGAAGTTGAGATAGAGTCAAGAGTCAACTCACGTTCCAAATCGCGCCTTTACTCGCGTTGTACCATACGAGGCCTGGTCTTGGTCTGGTCGCTCCAACACTCGCGATGTTGATGATCACACCTCCTTCTTTGCGCTCGATGGCTTGATCGACCCACGCATTGCAGCCAAGATAAACACCTTTGACATTGACGTCGAAGACCTTCTCGAACTCGTCCTCCGTGACCGTCGTCGTAGGTTTACTGGTATATGACCAACCAGCGTTATTGACGAGTATATCGCAGCGCCCAAACTTGTCGATGCAAGCCGAGACAGTAGCTTTCCAGTCGGAGGTTTTGGTCACGTCCATCTTGTGGAAGGCGAGAGAGGAAGGGTTTGTGGCTGCCGTCGCTTCGCCGCCTGACTGGTTGATGTCGCAGACGAGGACTTTGGCGCCTTCGGAGGCCATGCCTTTTGAGATTCCGGCGCCGAAGCCTGAGCCGCCGCCTGATGGGGTTGTTAGTGAGATGTGAGAGGAATGATGAGGATGCGCTTTACCGGTCACGATGGCAACTTTGCCATCTAGTCTGCCCATGATGAGAGGTTTGATATGTTGCACCTCACGGTGTAAATGTAGGTCGGTCAACTGTATCTCCTCGAAAATATATTTGAATTGCTAGGGTCGATGTTGAGTCTCAATAGCCAGCGACGATGTTGATGTTTTGATTACAACAGAGCAAAGCGTTCCTGCCTGCCATCTCATGGACCCTGATATCTGCCACCGGTATCGCATCTCCAATCATCGTCAGTCGACTAGTCGTTCTTCGGAGTTGAGCACAGCAGTGAGGGGTAAGCGTGGTGCCCCGCATGGAGTTGACGTCGTGTTGGAGGACCACCGAGGTTTGAGCCAATTGGAGACCGTCTCCGCCGACGTTTCGCTGCTTTGAACGTCTGCGTCTGCGGCGTCTCTCCGGATCGCATTTCCTGAAATATCCGGGTGTCGCTGCAGATACGCGCATTGCTCATGTAGGCTATACGCTGGAAAGTGGGGAAGCTCTGTTGTTTGCAGATGCTGATAATGGTGGCCGCGGAATCAACGCGCCTTCCAAGATCATCTCCTCCAGGCAACTTCACTGTACACTCACCAGTTTTGGTCAACGATACGTGGAAACTTAGAACGAAATGGCGTCAGATAAGAAACACGAGCTACCGTTCAAGGTGGGTCAATACAAACTCGTTCTTGCGATTGACTCGTACTGATGTATCCTAGCTGAACAATCCAGACTTGCTCCATAGCCTATCTTTTGTGAATGGCGATTGGGTACGAGCGAAGTCGGGAAAGACGTTCGAAGTGGTCGGTCAGTCATCACAGCATATCTACTTATCTGAACCCCAAGATCTGACGGGCGAACAGACCCTGGAACAGGAAAGGCGTGGATAGAGTGTCCTACGAACGATGCATCTGATGTCGACGATGCTGTCAAAAGCTCGCATGCTTGTTTTCAGGAGTACAAGAAGATCAGCCCGCGGCAACGAGCACAGATGCTTTACCGATGGGATGCCCTCATCAAGGAGAACAGGGAAGATATAGCGACTGTTCTTGTGTACGAGACCGGAAAGCCTAGAGCCGAGGCGTATGGAGAAATCGATTACTCGACAGGCTTCACATGGTGGTTCGCCGGAGAGGCCGAGCGCATTCAAGGCAGTGTCTTCACACCCGCGCTACCAAACAGACGCATCTTCACGATCAAGCAGCCGCTTGGTGTCGCTGTCGCGTTGGTGCCATGGAACTTCCCCATCGCCATGATTCTTCGCAAAGCTGGCGCTGCATTGGCTGCAGGCTGCACGATGATTGTGAAACCCAGCCCGGAGACACCAATCACTGTACTCACACTGGCTTGCCTCGCTCAAAAGGCTGGATTCCCAAAGGGGGCGTTGAACGTCCTGACCACAGATCTCGACAAGACACCAGAGCTTAGTGAGGCGCTTTGCCGGCATCCGCTTGTGAGCAAGGTCACGTTTACAGGCTCGACGCGCGTTGGCAAGCTAGTCGCTAGGATGTGTGCAGACAATCTGAAGAAAGTTACACTCGAATTGGGCGGCAATTGTCCTGTCCTGATCTTCGACGACGCGAATATCGAGCAAGCTTTGACGCAGATCTTCGCACTAAAGTATCGACATGCGGGTCAAGCATGTATTACGGCGAACCGTATATACGTTCAGTCTGGGATCTTCGACAAGTTCCTCGAACGCTGGAACGCAGAGACACAAAAGATCGTCGTCGGTCACGGTTCAGACGAGAAGACGACGATGGGCCCAGTGACTACTCCACGGGGTGTCGAGAAAGCACTCGCTCTTGTCGAAGATGCGAAGAAAAAAGGCGCGAAGATTCATACGGGCGGTAACAAGGTAGAGAAGGACGGTGGCTACTTTTTCGAACCTACCGTCATTACCGGCGTTACGCCAGAAATGGACATTGCCAATGAAGAAGCCTTCGCCCCGATCAGCACATTCATCAAATTCGAGACTGAAGATGAGGCTGTCAAGGCCGCGAACGACACCAGTATGGGCCTCGCATCCTACTGCTTCACAAAGAACGTTGATCGCACCTGGAGACTGTTTGAGAATCTGGAGGCCGGCATGATCGGGCTGAACACCGTAAGTTGACAACGAGGACATTGGAAAGCGTACTAACATGCGCCAGGGCAACTCTTCTGCTGCAGAATCGCCATTTGGTGGCATCAAGCAATCCGGCTATGGCAAAGAGTCAGGAAAGGATGTCGCAGTGAATGAGTATTTGATTACCAAGACAGGCACCTTTACGCTGGAGGAGCAGTCGTGAGATGGTAGGCGCTTTTAGGATGTGGTGACTGTCCCAAGCATATGCATCGCTTCCAACTGTGACGCGTCGTGGCTAGCTTCTAGGGGCCATGCTTGCAAGCTTGATAGGTCCGCTACAGGATGTAACGACGACCCTGACCCAAACTTGACTTGCTTGCACGTTCACCGTCACTCTGATATTTATGCTATTGTTGGTGGTGAAACACACAGTCGGGCAATCGTATTGTGTTGGGGCGTTTCAATCACGCACGTGATGACGTTAGTGCCCGCCCGCGCTTTGGAGCTTACCGACCGCGGCGCGCGGCTTGTACAGCTCTCGAACTTCCAACAACACCACCTCACCGAATTGCCGGACCTCTTTGAACTATAGCCGCCATCATGGACGACACGGACATGACTGATGTCGCTTACGATATTGACATTGATGTAGGCGCAGACATTGAACCGGTAGCACAGCCGTCGCAACCACAGCAGGTTGTCCAGGTGAGCATTGCGCCAGGCTGCACGAGAAGGCGCAATTGACTGACATGGGCGCCATCGCAGGAGCCGGCCGAGCAAGAACAAAACATACCCGCCGCCTACCTTGAGGAC